TATACACCGAGGTCCAGTCAGTCCGGTGTGCCGCAATCAGACGCTGAATTTAGCGGCTGAATGTGGAAGTCAACAGTCATCGCCCAACGGTTGAAATTTAGCAAATTCGAGTTATTTTCAACCAGATGTGAATCAAATCTACTCGAATAGTTCAGAAAAATTCAAAATAGGTCCGATGGTTGCTGAGAATCGTTGCTGAATTTTGCGCGTGACGCGCAAAATTCAGGCACCGGGCCGATGACTTCCACATTCAAGCCACATTCAGCTCCCACATTCAGCGTGTGATTGCGGTGGTGTTTGGAAAGTTGAGTGTGATAATCTCAGCAAAGCGGGAGTGCGGGCTGTTCGCGTCGTCGACAGATTCCCCCGATTTGCCTGTCCCACTCTGCTGTTCCCCCGATCCGATTACATAGGTCCTGTGCAAATCGGGGAGACACTATGCAACGGGGCAGCGCAAATCGGGGCTACGTTTGGAAAGTAGTGAAACAGCAAATTGAGGGAATCCGTTGCCAGATCGGGAAATTCCAAAGAACATCTTGCTAACGACCTAACCTAAGTCTATCGACGTTGCGTTGCCGGGACGTAGAATAGGGTGGAGCGTTTTTGGGCTTTTTTTTTTATTTTGAAAATGGACATAGCACAGTAGTTGTGAAATGGTCTAAAAGTAACGCCTGAATTTTCTTGAATATTTTCATCAACGTTTAGGCCTCCCGGATTGACGTTAACGTCCAAATTAGCGGAAAATCCGGGTTTTTAGACGATAACTTGGCAACAATGGCAAATACGACAAAAATGCATAGAATCAGAGTTGTTGGAAATTAAATTTCCAACAAATCACTTTCTTATCGTTTTTTCTGTAAGTGCAACCCTTTTAGTGTAAAATTCGAAAACCCGTATTTTTCCGGAAATTTGGCACAAATTCTCGTTCAGTCCGGGAGAAATACGGGAGAAAGAGGGCTAACTCGGAACAATTTGCGTGATAGACTTTTCCTACAAGAATACCATCATCGGGTTGGCCTGAATAACACAAAACATACAAAATGTTTTCCACGGCTCCACCGCGGAACACCCCTTAAAATGCCTAAAATTCAAAAAGGCGGCCGTGTTTAGATTATCAAGCATCAAGGTAATTTAAAATGTGCATCTCGTGTGGTATGAGGTGTCGTTTCCTACGTCTTTTTAGTCGTAAATTTCAAATATAGTGTTAAAAAAAGCCCCTGGTCAAACGGGGTGCATCAAATCCAGGATGGCGGCCAACTTTGAACGGCGGGAGGGTAACTTATAATGTTTGATTAGTGTATTACATTTTAAATTGATAGTAAGGTATAATATTGGAGTATTGGGTAAGGTAGGATAATATTGGTTTAACATTTTGATTAGAGGTTCAAAATTAAATTGTCTTTTATAAGACCTCATCTATGATCCGATAAATGACACCTAGTCCGGAGGCGTAAAACTGGCAATCCAGGCCGAATCCGCAGGTTACTAGGGTTTAAGATGCCGCAATGTTTGTGGAGAATTTAGATAATTTTGGTCGTAAATTTTAAATTTACAACAGAAAATGCCCCATAATCGTGCAGGGTCTCCCAATTATGGGATAAGTGGATGACTTCTAAATGTGAAGGACAGAACAGCAAATTTCAAAGTGTGATAGTAAAAAATCTTTGAAATAAATCTAACAGTTTTCTTAAATGTTCACAATTAATATTACTCCTCAATAAGAGCTGAAATCGAGGATGGTGACTACCTCCATTTGAAGAATCGATAAAACGACACTACAAAATAAATGTACAATTCAAAGAGAGACTGCTGAATGAGCGATATTTACATGCAATTGAGTTACCTACCTATTACGAAGAGAAAAATAATGCAAAAATGAAAACATTGATGATTCATACCACCGGATGATGTTCCTCAGCATATTTTTTGAACAGTGGTGTCGTCAACTTTTGATTTTAGAGAAAATTGATTTTTTTTTATTTCGCCATGATTCTTACGTGACCTGATTTGCATTATTCACATTTCGAATAAAAAGAGTCTTGGTTCTCGGGGGGAATAAAAGGATTTTAAGCGCGGATATTACTTACATGGAAATCGGTACCTTATTTTCGAAGATGTATAATAAAAGCATATTTTAAAATGAGACGTAATGCTAAAAACAACCATGTTGCATGCAAACACCGTTCAGATAATGCCTTCCAGCATTATACCTACACCTCCGGTTAACACTACTGTCTTTTAAAGGCAGTCATCGTGGATTTGGGACGCCCTGTTTGACCATTCATTTTCCACTTAATATTTTACTTCACATTTTACCAAAATTACACAAGGAATAATACTTCACTTCACTCATTGCGTCATTATTTAACTTGCTTAAGTCCTCCCACCCTTCAAACTTATCAGTCTTTTTTGAGTTTTGGGTAGCCCGATTAACCAGGTGGTATTAATCACGTCATACTGGAAATCTACGACCAAAATTACGATGAAACAACTAAAGCATGTATCGGTTATCGATGTTGCAGAATTCTTGGAATTTTCAAATATTGCATACGGGATACCTGGTTTGGGAATTTCGCCGTCGATATTCTTTAAGGAACCAATACCTCACTTGACTTATCACGCGAAGAAGTGGCACTAGGACGAACTATCAGGGTAGAATGTGAGGGAATGGGACAAACATACCCTCCTGCCGTTCAAAGTTGGCCGCCATCCTGGATTTGATGCACCCCGTTTGACCAGGGGCTTTTTTTAACACTATATTTGAAATTTACGACTAAAAAGACGTAGGAAACGACACCTCATACCACACGAGATGCACATTTTAAATTACCTTGATGCTTGATAATCTAAACACGGCCGCCTTTTTGAATTTTAGGCATTTTAAGGGGTGTTCCGCGGTGGAGCCGTGGAAAACATTTTGTATGTTTTGTGTTATTCAGGCCAACCCGATGATGGTATTCTTGTAGGAAAAGTCTATCACGCAAATTGTTCCGAGTTAGCCCTCTTTCTCCCGTATTTCTCCCGGACTGAACGAGAATTTGTGCCAAATTTCCGGAAAAATACGGGTTTTCGAATTTTACACTAAAAGGGTTGCACTTACAGAAAAAACGATAAGAAAGTGATTTGTTGGAAATTTAATTTCCAACAACTCTGATTCTATGCATTTTTGTCGTATTTGCCATTGTTGCCAAGTTATCGTCAAAAAACCCGGATTTTCCGCTAATTTGGACGTTAACGTCAATCCGGGAGGCCTAAACGTTGATGAAAATATTCAAGAAAATTCAGGCGTTACTTTTAGACCATTTCACAACTACTGTGCTATGTCCATTTTCAAAATAAAAAAAAAGCCCAAAAACGCTCCACCCTAACGTAGAATTCTGCATAGTCCTAAACACGTTGCACTAAAAAAGATGGCACAGGCCAGAATCGCCCGTTAGCGGGTGGCGTTGCATTTCGCGTTGCTCAAAAAGTCAACAGCGCATGTGCAGCCCATATCGGCACCAACCAAGTTCCTCGAATCAGTCTAATTAGGAGAGGTTGCAACTGTTCGAATGTATCCTCCAATATTATTAGGTACCTATCTTGATATTAGCGTACCAAGTGATTTTCGTGGTTTAATTTTGTGCTTAAAGTGATACTTTTCTCGGTGTTTCATATGCATCAAAGTTTCGTTAATTACCCCCTACTGGCTTACTTCTACTGGTCTGTTTCTACTTCTGTATCTCAAGTCAGTGTGTTACAATTTCAACCCATAGACCTTATGTTCTATTCTACTCTAAAACCGAAAGTGCGTATTCCTCCTCTAGCATATGTAGAGAAAAAAAAGGATTTGTTTGCATCTTGAGGATTGTTTACCTTGTGACGTAGGTCGGTACAACATGGCCCGAAAAATCCGGAATTCGAAGTATGGAGAACGGACCATGATAGGGATCTGATTTTTTTGCTTAAATCAACTCATAATATGATTGCAAACACTTTACATCTATAGCATGTCTTTTTCCATGAAATACAACATTTCTGGGAAATTTGATGATGAAAGTCATCCGTGCCGATCTACGTCATAAAAAAATCCAAGATGCCCGAAATGCGAACACCTCCTTTTTTTTTCTCTATGCTTCTCTAGTACGTACATACATACGAAAATGAAGGTCGCACCCATGAAGGACTTATCATAACTCCGTCGAAAATTCAGATATTGATCTTCGATTTGCGCCAAAATTCTTAATGTTTTACGTTCTTTTCAATGACGCACCACAAGATAGGGGTTACTTTTTGAAGAAAAGTTCCCCCCCCCCGCCCTCCCTGAGAGAGGGACAAAACTTTTGACCCCCCTAGAAGACGGTCTCATTGTTTCGCTTTTCTATCTCTTACCGTTCAAAAGTTACNGGGGGGGGGGGGGGGGGGGTGTACGGACTTTTGGGACATCCTGTATATCAATATTGTAATAAGTAACTTTTCCTTTCCTTTCCTTTCAAACATGAGAAAGCAGTATCGTAAATTAGATTGTTTAAAAAAATTGTATTATACTTCATTTTCTGCAAGGGAAACTGGTCAACATTTTCCCAGCAATTGTGTGCGATTTTAACTTTAAAAACGTGAAAAAAATTCACAGAAAATTTCAAAAGAAACTTTGGTCAGCCTTTTTTCAGCATAAGAAAACTTGGGCGCAGCCTTCCTTTGATACAATTTGACTTATGAATTTGTGACATCAGTCATCCTTATGCTGTTTCACTATGCTGCTTTATTGGGAATGATATCACTATGCTGATTTATTAGAAATTATAATCAACCAAAAATTGGTTCAAAAACTTTACGAAAGAAACTGACACATGGAAAATTTAAACCTTTCTCAGAATTGGACCTCCGTAAAGGCAACTTTAAAAAAACGGCTGTTAGTAAAATTTTCATAATAACGGATTTACACAATAAATTTCACAAAGTTTACATCTTTCTAAAGTTGAGAAATTTTTAAGCTTTGAAGGTAGAATAGAAGAAGTCAATTCAGAAGGAGAAAATAATTATTTTATTGTTAGAGTTGATTTCAATAGAAAATGACAGAGTAAGAAAATAAAACGGGAAAATATTGTAGATTAAACTCAGAGGGCCACAATCTTCCTTAAGTATAAAAAAATGGAAATAGTGAGGATCAGAAGATTCCACCAGGAAAAGTGCAAGTATAGGATATCAATTAACAACAATAACGGTTGGCCAACCCAAAGATTGTAATAAAGGTGTTATTTAAGAAACACTTTTGAAGTATTCTTGAGATCCTTTTGGGTCTGGTTTCATGGTCTTTGAGCCAGGTTTCCATCCAGCAGGGCAAACTGAGGACACGAAGAAATTTCTTGATTATTCTTAAAAAAAAAAAAGAATCCTCACAATATCGAACTTCATTACTTCTTCCTTACTAATGATCCAAGGTATTCAAGAGTAAAGGATGCTTGCAATTTACTGTAGCCAATTTTTAGCGCCTGCAGAATGGCAGAACGTTTTTACAATAGGTCCTAACCTATGCAAATATTACATCATGTGTAGGTCTAAACGTTATTCAAGCGGTCCTCACTCCTCCAGATTTCCTCTGAACACAAATTGTATTCCTCCTCTCCCTAAAATTTTCTTTTTATAAATATTTCCTTTGAATTTAAAGTCGCATTTACATCATGCCCAGACGTTCTGGGACTTCTATTTGCCATCTTTGTCTATCAGAACAGAATCGTCTGGCAAATTGAATCTTGAAATTTCATGCTAAATGCCACCTGTGCATGATTTTACACACATTTTCTCCGAGAGACCTAATCTAGTACCTTCGTTGGCAATTTGCCATCTATCATATTCCTTAAAATGACCCTACTTGAAAAACTATTGGGTAATGATTAAGAATATCGAAAACTCTCTCAACCTCTTTCCAACTTCATGTGTCCTAGTCTCTCCCTTTCTTCATTACAATACACACCACCTTTCCTATCACGGCAAATCCTTCATTCCTTCAAGGGTCAAAATAATTCTAACTAGGCTACCAGCATGAAACTTGGTGAAAATGTAGTTTGAGGTACCTAGAACGGAAATCAATCGGGACCCAAGCTGGATCTTCCATGGTTCCTCGTATTTTGGCCGCCATTTCCCAAGACGGTCATCTTAAGGTAATTTCCATTGTTATCTCATTTTTCAGGCGTTCTAACTTACCTATTAACATGAAAGGCAGGAATATACTTGAGCGTATCTAGAACGAGGAAAAATTGACATTCAAGTCCATTTGGCTTTTTTACCCTTGTTATTGACCGCCATTCTGAAAACTAGCGGTTTAGCGCCGCTTCTTAGATTTTCATTTTTGCGGCTGTGTTGTAATGAGATGTATGAAATTTGGTAGGAATATAGATAAATATATTGAGAACAAAAATCTATCGAGACCCAAGTTCAGTCTGTCTTTTTTACCCTTGCTAATGGCCGCCGTTTTGGAAATAAACAGCCCAGCCCTGCTTCTCCGCATTTTTCTCAGATTTGCGCGACTGTTTTGCAGTCACACACGTGAAACATGAAATTTGGCAGGAAAAATTTTTGTGTTATTTTTAGTTTTTCAGGCCTTTTTAGGACAAAAGTAAAAGAAAAAAGTACTGAGACCTTAAATGTCATCAAAATTGTTCTTAAGGCATCTTTCTGATAAAGCATTAAAAAAAAAAAAAAAATGCAGCAAAAAATAACTTGCGGCTCAAAAGTTATGGGCATTCGAAGAGGGGAAGGTTTTGTCAGTATAATCAGACAAAATCGTAACGAACAATCAACCGCGCAGCACATCAATGAGTCAAGTCGAACATTTTATACATTTAGACCTGAAATCTACCAACTGTCATTGACATCATGTCAAATTTTCACTTCAATCCGACGAAAATGAGCCAGGGGACCCCGGGGTGAATTTTTTTGGGGATAAGGACCCTTCCTTTTTAGAAGTTTGAAACGTTGATTTCTCGGAAATTCTTATCACTTTAAAAATTCATATCTCAGTGAGTCTTTCGATTTGAGACCTAATATTTTGCAGAAGTTCATTATTTGGGGGTCTGATCGAGAAAAAAATTCATTAGCAAAATCCGAGTCTGGCGGTTGCATGGCTGGTAGGTTCTGTACAGAATATCCCCAAAAATAAAGATGAAATAATCATACTTTTTGTTTCGTGTACTCAAAAAAATATTCTCCTTCAAAACGAATGTCAAACTGCGTAGCAAACTCTTTCGCCTCGGGTAAAAGAAAAGAGATTGTTTTAGATGATTTTCAGAATTCATTTTGAATCACACTGCCCATCACATGTGAAGAGAGAAGTGCACTGCAAATTAAACCCTGCACACTTGCAGTTGCGAACGCATACGGATACGGTGTTATCGGATATTTTTCTTAATACAGTTTTGCCTGTACAAACTCATAAGGATATGCCTTTCAACACATGGCAAGCATGATTTTAATGAAAAACATTTCCAAATAAAAAAAAAACTAGCGTGACGGTCGTGAGTTCCCAAGTAAACAGAATTATTACTTGCCAACTAATATTGTTGCGATTCACCAAAAACTTCAACCTGGTAATGATAAATACTTTGTCCCACTTCAGGGCATCCCTGGGCATCACCGACGCCGACCGGATTCCAGTTGCGCTACTTACAAACAGTTTGGTAGGAGCATTTATCTCTAGAGTCTAGCTGTGACGGTCGTGAGTAACCTTTTTCGAACGTTCTTATCCGCTTGTGAACGAATTATAACTGTCTTCTATTTATTTATTTACAATGAAGATGAAGAAACGTATTACAGTATTTCATGATATGCAAGTTCTCAAATAACGGTTTACTCTTTGAGTTGTAACAATGCAAGCTAGGAACCCTATATAGTGTCAGTATGTCTTTGGTCGCAATGCGGGAGACAGTCGTGCGTTTGATAAAGGGTAGAAATTCCCAAAAAAAAAAGAATTTTAGCTAATTTTTTAATGTTTGTTTTTCGTAAAAAGTGTTTTCTTCATATAAAGGCCAAAAAAATAGGAGTAGAACATATTTATATGCCAATAAAATACCAGGGACAAGAAAGTACCTACCATCTTTGAAATTTTCGCATATGTAATAAGTATGCCCCTCCCAGCGGCCGTTCTGGAGAGGAAAGGGGGTTGTTCTTGGCCCCCCCTAAGGTGAAATGGCATTCCAGACCACCAATTTGCAATTTCCGACTTGGAATTCGGAATCTACGCCTCTACTTACATGAGAATCGACACCTCACATGCCACTTTGAGAGAATTTCACTGCAACTATGCCCCCCCGGCGACCGTTTTGAAGAGGGTAGGGGGCTGCTCCTGGCCCCCCGTAGGGTGTAATGGCATTCTAGACCTCTAATTTCCGATTTCCGACTTGAAATTCGGAATCTACGCCTCTACTTACATAAGAATCGACACCTCACATGACGTCCTGAGAGAATTTCACTATTTATGCCCCCCATGGCAGCCATATTAGAAAGAAGAGGGGGTTGAGGGCCCCATATAGGGTATAAGCCATTGCAAGTCTCAAATTTGCGATTTATGACTTGAAATTTGGAATTTACGCCTCAAATTACATAGGAAGCCGAGAGAGGAGAATTAAATACTATCAAACTCCTTAAACTAAATCAGTAAAAAAATCTTAATGAGACTATTAGTCATCTTAATCAAAATATTAATATTAAATAAAATCACCATACCGGCCCCATCTGCGGAATTAAACTAAACTAGCTTTCATTAAAGATAGGCGATCTTACCATAATTGATTTAAAAGATCAACACTTACTTTAAGCTTTTTAATGACCTTGAATTTTCTAACCAGGCAGAAAATCCTTGATTTAAGACCACTCTGGCACCCTTGGTGCCATAGGTAGGGGTTTACCTACTATGACGTTCTGAGAGAATGTCACTATTTATGCCCTCCGCGGCGGCCATATTTGGGGTAGGAGGGGGTGAACCCTGGCCCTCCATAGGGTGCAGTGGCATTGTAGACCTCCCTTGTAGGTTTTCTGACCTAATTAACATGAATGAGGACACGTCATTCGACAGTGAAAGGTGCATCTTGGGTAATTATCATTAAAGTTGAAATTTTGGCCGCCATCTTGGATTTGACGGTCCCTAAGGGGTTGAAATGATTTTTTGACACCAGATATGAATTCTACGACCAAAATTACATATACATGGATACCAAACTCGACAATATTCTCAAATTTTAGAATTTTGACCCCCGGGCGGCCAATTTGGGCGCCATCTTGAATTGGGGGCACCAGCATCATTCTTGGACTTGACAACATCGAAAATCGGATTCAACACGAAAAAACGAAGAGAATGATGTATCATTCAAACTTTATTACACAAGCTGCACACAGGAGTCTTTTTTTGTCCATCTGCTACCGCACTAAAACTTGTCTGCCAAGCGTCAGGAGTTTGTCACCAGATGGTGTTTTTTGGACCACTTTGAGGGCCTAGATGAGGGTGATGGCACAGGCTAGGTAGAAAGATGATCTTGGTGTCAAAATTCCCAGAAAAATGAGAGCTTTCAGAATATATGTATGAAATTAATTAAATTTCAAAATTTGACCCACTTTTGGGGCATTTTACAAGGTCCCCCTTTCGTAAATTTTCGTTTTTTGAGATTTTCGGTTGTTTGGTTCGCACGGATCAAAACAAAAACAATTTCAAATGAAAGTAGAGCGTTTAAGCTTTAAAACAAGCCCAAGATAATCTTGGGGAAACGATTAGAAGCGGAGTTATGAGTCTTCAAAGTTGACGCGGCGCGCGGGAACCTTGTATGTTCCGAGTCTCAAGGTCACCTGCGCGCCCCGGATTGCCTGCAGGTTGCAAGTTTTTGTGTTTTTATGCTTCTGTGGGTCATTTTTAATGTAAATCATTCAATGAAGATAGAATAATCGAAATTTTTTAATTTTACGGGAGGAGCGAGAGGGGGCTTAGAGTATCAACCATTATGTCCATCATACCTCATTAAACATTTGCTGACGATGACGATTCTGCTCTTATAATTTAGAAGAAACCATGGACCCTCAGTTCAAATATACATATGCTCCATACAGAACTGAACCATTTAGAAATTACAACCCATTGATGCCACATTTTGGGGTACCCCTAATTTTAAAATTTTTTAATTGAGCTATAAGCTACAGCGCTTGACGGAACTCACTTGGTAAAGCCAAATAGTTTCTCGTAGAAGCAGACGAGCTTTGAGCTTCAAGACAAGTCTCAGTTATTCTTGAGGGGGCTATTTGAAACGCAGTTAACATTTTTTGACGTTAATGTGGTGTACCTCGCCGAAGGCCCATTGTGTAAAATTAAAAAATTCTGATTAAACTATCTTCATTGAATGATTTACATTAAAAATGACCTACAGAAGCATAAAAACACAAAAACTTGCAACCTGCAGGCAATCCGGGGCGCGCAGGTGACCTTGAGACTCGGAACATACAAGGTTCCCGCGCGCCGCGTCAACTTTGAAGACTCATAACTCCGCTTCTAATCGTTTCCCCAAGATTATCTTGGGCTTGTTTTAAAGCTTAAACGCTCTACTTTCATTTGAAATTGTTTTTGTTTTGATCCGTGCGAACCAAACAACCGAAAATCTCAAAAAACGAAAATTTACGAAAGGGGGACCTTGTAAAATGCCCCAAAAGTGGGTCAAATTTTGAAATTTAATTAATTTCATACATATATTCTGAAAGCTCTCATTTTTCTGGGAATTTTGACACCAAGATCATCTTTCTACGACAAACCGTTGAGAAGTTATGCTAATTTAAAGGTTTTGACTTTGACCCCCTCTCCCCCCTTTTCCCTGGGGGTTAGGCAAAAAATATGACCAGTTTTGAGTGTTTGGGAAGACCCTCTGTCATCCCTGAGAAAATCGTACGATTCCGTGTTTAGGCCGATTTGGCCGTTTTGTTGTAGGGTCCTTTCCGTTTCTGTGCATGCAAGGCTATCGGTTTAGGGGGTCAAAACATGTATCCCGAGTTTGTCACTCAAAGTCGTCTGGCTCTCGGACTATATATTCCTGTCAAATTTCATGTTAATAGGTAAGTTAGAACGCCTGAAAAATGAGATAACAATGGAAATCAGCTTAAGATGACCGTCTTGGGAAATGGCGGCCAAAATACGAGGAACCATGGAAGATCCAGCTTGGGTCCCGATTGATTTCCGTTCTAGGTAGGTACCTCAAACCACATTTTCACCAAGTTTCATGTTGGTTGCCTAATTTGAACTGTCAGGGTGATCTTAGACCCTAAGCGACTCCACTAAACATTTCCATCCGTCTTAGGAATCTCATGTTTCTTGCATCCCCCCCTCTTTCTTCTCGCACTTGCTTCTGTCGAAACTAGGCTGAGAAAAAATGGGAGATTCGACCTTTATTTGATCAACTCTCCCAGAAGTTTGGATGATTCGAACTATGTGTGATCAACTCTCTGAGAAGTTATCAAATTAAACCAACTTAAAAATATATTTCATTTCTTGATGCTCTCACAGTTTCTGTATGTTGTATTGAGCAAAGATAGGAACCCTGTGCTTAAATGTGTCCAATCAAAATGTATGACTGTAAACAGTAAACGTTAAACCTTTACTAGTCATCAAAAGGTCATTTTTATTATAAACACACCCCCCCCCCCAAAGAAAAACACCCACACACCCACACCAGCAACAAACAAAATTTAAAAAGTTTCGGTGGCTCACCTTCTCCATGAATGTCTGTATACTGGAAAGCCTGGACAAGACGGAGGGTTTCATCAACTGAGCGACCAACGGGCAAATCATTGATGGTAATTTGACGTAAGTTTCCTTTCCCGTCAATGATGAATAATCCTCGGTAAGGGATTCCAGTTTCTTCGTTAAGGACGCCATATTCACGTGCAATTTTCCCAGACTTGTCAGCCAAAAGTGGAATACTCATTTCTCCCAATCCTCCTTGCTTCCGCGGAGTGTTTACCCAGGCCAGATGACTGAAATGACTGTCAGTTGAGGCTGCAACAACTTCACATCCGATTTTACGAAATTCATCAATACGGTCGGAGAAGGCGATTATTTCAGTTGGACAAACAAAAGTGCTGAAAAGAAAGAAGATGATAAGGATAAAAATAAGTTTTTCAAGAAAATATAATACTAAATGGACTCGTGCAATTATGATTTTCACAAATCATTTCCACATTCTGATATACAATCTTGGAGTTTGCTATCTTTATAACAAACGCCGAAAAAGATCCAGGATTGCTTAAAGAGCCCAGAAGAAGAATACCTAAGAAGTCATGCTCCAAGTCTGCAGACCTTCCCACCTTCACCGCCACTCTTTCGTGGGTTTTCTTTTCATTTTTCCAGACACAAATACAATTCATTATCCATCACAAGATTCAAACACAATTCATAACGAGATTACAAATAGAATACAGAAATATGGAGTCGAAGGGATTTGCGATCGAATTCTGGAATTTCAAATCCGAGGTACCACCGCTCAAAGTTAGTCAAAGCCGGTTTTACACAATCGGAAATCACTGACAGAACTGCACGGCTTTCAGTTCATCGTGCGAAAGGACTCTCGTATGGTCCATTGATTGTAAGGAGTAGTCAGACATCTGAATTGGACAGATTTTTTAGCTCAGGCTTCCGGGTTGCGACGTTGCCATTTGAAGTGGAGATCTTTAAAAATCCACAACTCGGCTGCATTTTACCCAAATTCGATGAGCGTTTTGTTTAAAATTTTACTCTTTAATGGAGTGTGAGTCAATGGGTCTACTCAGCACTAGGTGGCACTTACGCGGTTTTGACAGTTCTTTGCAGGAATTCTCTACTGAACCGTCGTTCTACTGGACCTAGGTACACCACTGGAAAGCTTCAATGGAGATGTTGCATGTGTGAAGAATTTGCGATTTGACCGTTGATTCTTATGTAAAAGTTCGCGAGAAACACGATGGTGCCACTGGTTTCCTCTGAAATCAACTCCCAGGCTCAAAAAAAGCTCTCAAGTTGAGGCCAATATGGAGGGGATATCCCACCCTACCCTGAGAGTCCACGTCTACATCAAGACAAACTCTCCATGCAAAGATAGGGAGCAAATACATTAGCAGGGTTGCCGTGTTTTCAGTTTTGGAGTCCCCAAATAAAGTGGCAATCCTGCTGATGTAATTGCTCCCTATCTTTGCATGGAGAGTTTGTCTTGATGTAGAGGTGGACTCTCAGGGTAGGGTGGGATATCCCCTCCATTTTGGCCTCAACTTGAGAGCTTTTTTGGAGCTTGGGAGTTGATTTCAGAGAAAACCAGTGGTACCATCCTGTTTCTCGCGAACTTTTACATAAGAATCTACGGTCAAATCGCAAATTCCTCAAACATGCAACATCTCCATTAGGAGTAAATTATTTTTAAAAAAAGTTCATCGAATTCGGAGGAAACGCAGCGGAATGGGGTTGTTGCATGCATTTTTTTTTTAATTCAGTTTCTACAAGTTGGTGGTGTGCTGATTGTTAAGGTATTTTTTTAAAAAATTTCTGATGATTGGAACATGGAGAAAAAGCGTCGAAAGTTGAGAAACGATTTGAAACGGGGTTCTTTCCCGCGCCTCGAAATCACGTGACTCTGACGTCACAACGCATGTCCACGGGTTTTTGCTATCTAAACTGCGAGCTAATATGAGTCTTTTTAAAAAATCAGGAAAAATCGAGTTTTCCGATTAATCTCATTTTTTTTTATCTTGATGGATACCTGGAGATAAGATGAATCAATTACGGACTGGGTTTTTGGCTCTTCACGACGATTTCTGGGTCGGAGAGTGAGTTAAAAATCGCTCCTTTCCCAATTTCTTCACAGAGCGAAGGAGCCGCTCGGCGGTGCGCAGCAGCCGGCCCTGCTCGGGGTTTTCCGGCAGCGTCCGCTCATCATCGTAGCCAATCGGAGCTCGAGATGAACTTAACCTAACCTAACCTCCACTAGATAAACACGCGGTCAAGATGTGGGTAGTGGCGGCGAGGTGAGACTCCCGCGTAGTTTGACCAACTGTACTGCGGCCAATGAAAATCGTTTATTTTCAACTTGAATTTGATGGAACTTTGACGGGCTTTTTCGGGCTTAAGGACTTCATTTTTGACTTTTTGAACGTTACCATCGTTTTTATCGTTAAAAGTACTATGACTATAAATTTTTTATTCTCAAATCCCTCACCCATGCAACAACCCCATTATGAATTTTAAAGATTTTTCCTTTACATAATGGAAACGTCGCACAGTGGATACAGTCAACCAGAGAGGTCGGACATGAAATGTTGAACTAAATCTGCAAATTTTGATGTTTAATTCGTCACATAATAAATTATAACGGAGGCTTCTGAAATAAAAGAGCGACCCCAAAAACGACCGTTTTGTGGCAAAATCCCCTCCCACTGGCAGGGGCCCGCGACACCCTAGCAGCGGTATCCTCCCTCATTAAGTTATCCCTCCCTGTCCTTCCCTTTCCCGTCCCTTCCTTGTCCCTTCACACGGTAAATCACTCTCTCTTTGGAGATGCAAAAATCCTACGTTCCACCTTCCAGGTCCGTACCTGTTCCTTCTCCTCCCCTCCTTTCCTTTACTCTCCTCTTGCTTCTATTTCTCCCTCCCATACCTATACTTCGGATTGCCCCAACTTTACATCTTTGGCTCGGGATCTTCCGGTGTGTCCAATTTGGTCAAGTGGCTCTACTCCCTCTCTCTCTTCTCCTTCCCCCTTTCGAGTCTCCCCACTACCTTGGGAGTTTTAGTCCTTTTCCTGACCCCGAGCCTCCCTCCGAGTTTAGTGTTCCCATCTTTGGCTGGGCTCTATTTAACCCTTCTCCCCATGCCCTCCCTACATGCCTACCTCAGCTGGTATCACTCCGCCCCACTCCCATCACTACCGAAAGTTATACGCCGCCACTCCCCCCCCCCTTCTTGCCGCTTTCCATCCCCTTCTTTATACATCCTTCCTTTTCTAAATCCTTTCTAGCAAGTCCTGAAATAAAAATACTAGAACCGACCGACACCAGCACTCCGACTAACTGTGCTGACTCCGTCAGAACTCCATTTGGTTGATCGCTTCATACCCCTGCTCGTACAGCCAATACAGCTTGTCCACAACCCTGACCTTCCCTCTCTCACTTGGAGACAGACACGTGGAGACTGTGGTTGACGAAGTCTCCGCATCTTGAAATCCTCGTTCTTGTTGTGCCTACATACCTAAGAGAGGTTCGAAGCCGCGTAAGCTTTTTGCTCATACAACGACTTACCTACCTTGCCTATGGGTTGAAATGAGGATCCCTCACCGTATCGGCGGAACAACTCCAATCACACGACCAACCCCCCCCCCCTTATCGCCGATGCCAGCCGCTTCACCCTCTCAGGGGTGACTACAGGGGGCGGGTGACAAGAATTTCACTACGGGCGGCGGACGCCCTATATTTTAGAGCAGCTTCCACGTAGGGCTTGGTCTGCTCCTTCCCGTATTAGTAAGAGCAGTCAGCTTTTCAACGAGTCCATCTCTTGAGAGTTGGTTTGCTCGGCTCTAAGCGTTACTACTAATACAAAAAACGCGGGGCGGGACCGCGCTGGGACTATCCATCGCGCAGGACGGGTCGCGCCTATCACTTGCGCTACAGGCCGGCCGGTAGCGACTGTTAGCGCCACGGTTTTATCCTTCCTCCGCTGAGGATCCTGTGGTCTGTGCGGTTGGCACAGGTTCGTCGTGGACGTGGTGCTAGAGCGAGAGGCGCACATTGGGACGAGCCCATTACAGAAACGGGACATTCACGGTAAAAATGAAAATCATTAAAAGCAAGAACCAAAGGTGTAGAAGTTACCTGGAGGGTCTAAACCTCCAGAATAACGAAGATTTTAACAATTTAATTGAGGAATATTCAAATGACAGCCGTAGAGAAACGCGTGTTTCGGTAAGATGAAAAAAAAGAGGCAAAAGCGCACGTATACAAATTTTGCTCCTCTAGCTTCCGAGATGATTTTAAATGCAATTTTTTGTTTTAACAATTGAATGCAAACATAGACTATTCGTTTACGTCTTTGGTGATGATTACTTTTTACTTCCTGGGGGTCACAGAGTGAATTCAAAATCGGCAAGTCAGAAAACTAAAATTCAAACTTCAATTAGAGTTTTAAAAAAATGTCCAGACTTGTCCAAGAAACGGTTTGCAAATCGAGATTCTACGTATCCTTAGCTTTCAGAAGCACATTAGTTTTCATCCGACTTCTTCCGACTTTGGAAGTTACAAGGGAAAACATGAGCGCGGTTTGCTTAAAATCGAGCGCTTTCACAGGCCAATTGACGGTTGAGGTTTGAGGTTGAGTGCAACGGGCTATGTTGCTAGCCGCCGCGCCGCTGCGTTGCTCATCAGCTTGCTGCGATGCTCATCTGATATCTAGGATACGGATCAATATCGTCTTTTTTTATAGACCGATTTTTTATTTTTAATTTGTAGAACAAACAACAACAAGAATCGGATGATGTCGCGATGGAAACGGTGGTGCTTAGAATCGAGGCTGACATTAAAAATTTAATTTTAACCGAAGTAGACGGTTTGACAGTGTCCCATGATTTGTATTCCACCATGTTCGATGGGAAAATTTGCAATATATTAAGTGGCAATAAATCCTCATTCTTATGGACGATATCTCAGAAGTGCAGAAAAGACCCCTAAGAAGCTCGGAGTTTCTAAAGTATGGAATTTTGCCTTGGCATCTCAAGATTGAAACTTTTGAGTGTCTGATGCATTTTTCGTATAATCAAGATTTTAGAAAGTGACGCTCAAAAACGGAAGAAGAAAAGTCCTTGAAAAAAAAACGGGGAAAAAACAGCATCTGTGTCAAAGAATGATAATATTTGGGAGCAACTTATTCGTTTATGATTTTCGGATTCACTTTTAATGTCTGCCCATTGATGAACTCATTCCCCTATAGTCAAATATCGCTGCGGTTTTCGATAGGTAAGAAGATGGTGGGGGGGGGTGTTTATTCTTAATAGAAGCATTTTTTGATTTCAGGATCAGTGAATTCATTTTCTTTTTCAATGAAAAAAAGCAAACGGCACGCGCGTTAA